ACCAGCAACATTTATCTTCTAGTATGGGGAAGTTGGGAAACAGAATACATCCATGAAGATGCACATTGCAACTGTTGTCAAGCCATTGTCGGTGCTATTAAAGGTTGTTAGAAGGATACAAGATGAGAGCCAGTGCTCTCTGATTACATTTCTAAATAAATCTACAGAGATTGTCACATTTGTCTCTAATTTATAAAGTGTTCACTTAAATTACATATGTATTTATTAGAGATAGTAATGATTTTATCTTCTGGGCAATTAAAACTGGATAGAAATTACAATAATTGCTTGAGTGGGATGTGTATAAACATACACATAGAATTTATATATAAGAATATATCACTGGGTTAAAGGTAAGGTCAGGCTTGATTTGCTGTTTTCAGGAAGGCACATTTGAGAAGAGAAGGTGTATTCATGGGTACTTGGACTGGCATAACCTGAGGCTGCTGGTTAAAATGAGGAGCAAGTTCTATTTAATCCTAGAGATATTTGATTTAATGCTGGCACTAAACACACTGAAATCATCAGATCTCTCGTGTCTATGAATGATAAATGAGGTTGTTCTCCACTGTGTTTCTTTATTAGCTTATGTGATGAATGTGTTTGTGTGAATTTAAGCTGTTATTTCATAATAACACTAAACACAAGTAGTTGGAAGCTGATATCTAACTGGAACTTAGATTGGCCCAATTTCAAAGCATCTTCCTGCCACAATCATGATAATTTAAAAAAAAATCACAGAATTTGAAAGATTGATACCCTACAGTAATGTTAGACTGTTTTGGGATGTTTGATACAGAGGTTCCTGTTTAGGAAATATGCCCTGTTGAATCCATCTGGCCAGTCTGTTGTTTCTCGCTCCTGTGTTTTAGACATGCACTCTGCCACATCTTTTCAGTCTTAATCTTTGGTGCCTGTAAGTAGTCTAGCAGCTCTAGTCTGATAAAACAAATTCTGAGGACTTGTTTTCCAATTAATTAGTTTAACTTCTAAATTATTTAGTTTAGCCTCTAAAAGTGGAAGTCTATACCATCAGTTGCACACTCTATAAGTGAATATTATAAAACTATAGATTTTTTTCATTTATCTTAAATTGGACTATTATATATTCAAAATGAAAAAAAACATATTTAATTTTTATTTGGTGGTGAATTTGTTTTACCACTAAAGAAATCATATAGATTCATCATTATTTGCAGTAGTTAAAGCAGTCAAAGTGATAGCTTACGAAGATAAAAGAAGATGTGCAGAAATGTCATTTTTAAGGGATAGCCAATCATTAATATTAAATATAAGGGTATAAGAAAATATAAATATTTGAGTTTTAGTCATAAGTCATATTGACTTTACTACATACTTACTATGATCTAATATCTGGAAAGAAGCAGATCAGTGATTGAATGTTTATATGAATAGAATTTCATTTGTCTGTTTACATTTTATATTCCATAAGGAGAAGGAGAAATATTGTGATTCAAATATAGTAATAAAGACTAAGAATCTATTATAGTTTTGTAAGATACTATCTAAAATAGTTATTACTGAACTTTTAAGTGAAATTATTAAAAGCACAGTATGGGCTGTTAAGTAAATTGGTGAAATTCATTTGTGGTTTAGAATTCCTGTGATAGTTTCTTAAATAATAGGATAGATATATATTCCATTATACTATCTCCAAAACACAGAATACGGTATACTATGAACTGATTGCATCTTTTTACTCTGAGCTTGAACTTGGCACATGTATTATATACTAGAGATAGCCAATAATATTTAATGGTTATCCAAAGACGACCCAAGTTACTGTTGCATATAAGGAATGGTGGAATAATCTTAACTCTCTTACTGTTTGACCATTCTGATCTTAATAGTGTCTTATCTCAACTACTTAAAGATTTCTCTAATTCACATACAGGAGAAAAACTCTTAGAATCATCTTGATTCACATAGATTTAGGAGAGTTATGTAGGCATTTAAATACACAATTTAGATAGTTCAGTTCTTTTTGCAAGGATCACATGAAGAGTTAAGATTATCCATGAATGTTGGAGCATTGTTGCAATCCCAGCACTCAGTAAGTTTAAGCAACAGAATCATGAGTTCCAGGCCAATTAAGTCATTGTTAAGTCATGACTCTGAGGCTAGAAAAATTATGAAGGCCTCTACTGTATATGTACAAATAACTAGTAATCATCAAAATCTAGATTGGCGAAAGATGAATAAATACTGTGTTAAATATTTTATTTTTGTCTAGAGAGAGTCGTATAAAATCCTACCAAATATTTGCATGTAATTTTTCAGTGTAGAAAGAATAGTTCTGTGTTTCTTCCATTTGATTACTCCTCTACCATTCTTGCTAGATGGTGGAAGAAAAAAAAAAGTGTAGAGAAAGCGATCAAGGAAAGGGACTGTTATAGGGAAATATTTAAAGTGAACATTAGGTAGGAACCCCAAAATTATAGCCTAATGTGTCTGAATATTCATTTTGATTACCAGGATGTGGCTGTTGCAAAAATGTTCTTAAGATACATTCAATAAGCAGCAACAAAAATATAGTTCTCTAAATTTTTTCAATGACATTGACATCAATATACACATTTATATTTATAAAAATATACTACCTGTCTTTAACAGTAAATAAGCAGAGAAAGCTTAGAGTTTAATCAAATATAAAATGTCAATATTGGACAATACTCTCAATTATACTTAAGTAATTTGTAATAAAAAATTGGGCTTCAAAAATTCATTTTTTTCCTTTATTAGTGGCTTTTCCCAAATACATTAAGTACTTAGCTGAAAAATACACTTTTAGTTGGAATTCTACAATATATTCTGAAATACATATTTAACTGACATGTTGAAAATTATGATGATAAACACACAAAAATACATCACAGTGATGAATTTGTATCTTTGTGATAGTTTAATTTCTCAGCATAGAATTTTTTTTTTTTTTTTTTTGGTCTTTTTCAGACAGGGTCTCCCTGTAGCCCCAGCTGTCCTGGAACTCACTATGGAGACCAGGCTGGCCTGGAAATCACAGCAATCCACCTACCTCTGCCTCCCCAGTGCTGGGATTAAAGACGTGTGCCACCACACCAGCTAGCATAGACTTTTATAATTTTAGAAAATCCCATTTAGGAAAATATAGTTAAAGTATGACAATATTTCAGTAGACTTTGAGCCTTCAGCAGGCAATCTTTCGGATGCACTATTTTTTTTTTTTTTTTTGGTCTTTTTTGAGACAAGATCTCCTTGTAGCCCCAACTGGCCTGGAACTCACTATGTAGACCAGGCTAGCCTCAAACTCAGAGATCTGCCTGCCTCAGCCTCCTAGATTTTTCTGCTATGTCATATAGCACCTGTAGTCTTCAAAAACATGATTTTTTCTATAGCATTCATTGCACAGGTTTTTTGGTTTTTGTTTTTTTCCCCCCAAGAGCTCTTTTGGATTTCAAAGTTTTATTTGGATTATCTACTATCTTATTTTTTATCTATCTTTGAGCAAAGTTTATAAGTATGAGAAATTTTTAGAGTTAATTACTTAGAATAAATTCTGAAAATAGGAATGTATGATATAAAATGCTTTGTTGTAGAATCTATGAGCTTGAGGGAATTTTTTGTTTTGCTGTCTATCATGACTTCATAGTCAAGTATGTATAAGGTAATAGCATGTGTTCCAGTCCAGGTTATTTGCTATGTCATATGAAATTGATGTACTTTAAAATTCTGGCCACCGAAGGGTCATAGATAATGCTTTACTCTAAAATAAGAAAGAAAGCCTGGAGTGATAACTCAATGGTTAAGAGTCCTTATTGCTCTTCCAGAGGACCTGAGATCAATTCTTAGAAACGTCTGGCACTCATAACCAAAGGCCTGTTACTCCAGCTCTGGGCAATTTGACACCTCTGGCCTCCAATGCACCAGCACTCCTATACTTATACATACATATCATTAAAAAGAAAATCTTAAAAAAAGAAAAGAAGAAATGACCACCAAATGTGCTCTTCCTACGAGGAAAAAATCCTAGAAAACAAAATTCCTAGAATCCATCAGTTTCAAGGTTATATCTTTACCAAAATATATTAGAAGAACATTTAAAGAGTGAAAATCTTTACCTTCCTCTATCTCTTCTTAGTGTTTTTACATATTTTGATGTAATATTTAATGCACTGAAATTATATGAGCCTGTGATGTTTAGATATACTTTTGGTTACAATATATATCCATATCAGCAACATCTGAAAATATCTGACCCCATTTTTTTCTCCTGTCTATAATTAAACCAGCATTGCCTTTCTCAGAGTTTCAAAAAGTACTTTTGACAGTAAACAGCCTGTCACTGGTATCCTCATACTCCAGTGATATGGTCATTTGTATCTACAGCCTACACATTTTTGCTTCAGATCAGTGTTTTTCTACCAAGGGTGATGCTGATAGATCAGTGGCAACGTCTAGAGGCATTGCTGTGACTGAAGGATGGGATGCTGTTCAGACCTAGTGAACAGAGACCAGGGATAGCACTAAAACCTGAAAACAGAATGTTCTTCCACAACAAACTAGTAACTAGCCCAAAAGATCAATGGTGCCACTGTTGAGGTAGCTACTTCATAGAAAATGTTGAGAATAAAATTAAATGCATTTTCCATTTATTTATGGATAGTTGTAATATTCATGTCATTTAAAAGCTTTCTCATTCCATCGTAGCATATGTTCTTCATTCTGTTGCTAAGCTTTCCGTGTTTTGCATCAAATGACATGTTGCATTTGTTCATCCCCAAATATTAGTTGTCTGCTCATGGTTTGCTATTTAAAAACAAGCAAAATGAATACTACCATTTATATTGAAAAAGTCTGTTAGAGCCCTGGTGACTTTCTATTTGTTTTTCTTCAAAATACCAGGTTCATGAAGTGTGGACAGAGTCTTGTGCTGCTGCTCTTTCCTCCATGGCTATCTTTTCTCTCTTCAACCTTTTTTTATTTTCCATTCTGGTTGGCAGAACTCCACTGATTGCAGCCGGAGTCATTGGTGGGCTCTTCATCCTGGTCATCATGGCTCTGACGTTTGCAGTTTATGTTAGAAGGAAGAGCATCAAAAAGAAAAGAGCCTTGAGGAGATTTTTGGAAACAGAGGTGAGGTTTTAGGGATTTTCATTGTTTTGCAGAACTGGGTATTTATCCGATTGACAATTTGATTTAATTTCTCATGAACTTGTATTTTATGGCATTTTTGTACAAAGTTGATGAAAAATTAGAATGTGTAATAAAAGTGGTCAAGGTAGTAAAGTCAGAGTTTAAAGAGAGTAGATTGTAGGGGGTCCAGGAAATCATAATATTGTAGAAAAGGTAGCTCTCTTGGGGGTGGAGACTTCCAGTAGCATCTTCAGAGAGAGGATACCTCAGTAATAGCAAATCCGGTAATTATCTGGGTAAGGCGTGTTTCATTTGGGAGAACTAGGAACATGGCAGGGAAAGAAACATCCTGACTAAAAATATGATCAGATAGGCAAGCTGCGTGTGCTTCAGTCAGGACCATTAAATTGGCAGCCAATGATATGACACCAGCAGCAAGAGGCTGAGCTTACAGGATAAGGCTTAGTGTTGTAATTACATGGAATTTGCAATTTATGAGATGTACTTAATACTGAATATTGCATATTGTGAATACATAAATTACTCATAAATTATCACAATCTCTTTTATATTGCCACGAGTGCTCTAGCATGTAAGCTGATAGTTTCTATTGTACAAGAAACTGAAAAACACTTACAAAAGGCTATGCAGATGTGGACTCCTCCCAGTTCTCATTCTACCGCCTCTTCCTGATCTTCACATCTGGGTCTCCTAAGCAATTAAGAGTAATTCTATGCTGTTAGGTATATTACTCTGGGTTTAGTTTCATTCTTCTTGTAATTGTGGCAGTCCTGCTTTTCCTCTTAACACTATCAGCAATGGGCATATAAACCCTTTCACAAATATTGCACAGTAATAATGAATTAGATTTTACTTTTTCCTTCATAAGTTTCCAAATGTGAAATTATTGCATGGAATGTGCCAAGACACATGTTTTATATATACTTTTAACTATATCTTATCCACAGTGCTGAAACCACCTCAAGAATTTTACATGTGATTTTATATAATTTTTAAAAATGATTCATGAAAATTACTCACCATAGGACTAGAAAGAGAGCTCAGTGGATAAAGTGCTTACTCTGTAAGCATGAGGACATGAATTGAGCCCTCAAATGGTTAGTACTTATTATACCAGTACTGGAAAGGCAGAGACAGAGAGATCTCTGGGGCTTAATGGTCAGCCAGCCTAGCCTGCTTACACACACACACACACACACACACACACACACACACACACACACAGCAATAGTAATTAAAAGAAGAGGTCATGAGTTTGAGAGGGAGTTAGGGAGACACAGGAGTTGGAAGGGGAGAAAAAATGGTAAAAATGATGTAAATACAGTACTTATGAATGAAATTCTCAAAAATTGTAAAAAAAAATTAATTAAAAATGATTAAATTTGGACTGGAGAGGTGGCTCAAGCAGTTAGGAGTACTGACTGCCCTTGCAGAGGACCTGATTCCAAGCACCCACATGTGGCTAACAACCTTCTGTAACTCCAGTTCCAAGGGAACCAACACCCTCTTCCTAGCCATGCAGGCACTGCATGACACAGGTGCACTTACACACATGCAGGCAATATACTCATACATATAAAAAATAAATAAATAAAATATTTTTAAAACAATTAAATTTTTTAAAAAGAAACAACGTAAAAGCAGATTTGCTGTCAAACTATTAGAAACCAGTCTATTATGATTTTTATCATGTCCTTCCTAAAATCCTTGCTACCTCCATATCCACTACACTCAGACCTGTTCCACTAGTTAAGTAAGTCATGATGTTTGCAGGAGTGTGGTGAGAACACACAGACAGGAGAGCTACAGTGCACTTAGCCTTGTAAACAGGTGTTTTGGAAATACTATGTTAGTTTCAAGACCATTTGAGAGGCAGTAGCCGTTAATTATTTCCTTGTATAGAGAAAGAGCAGGCTATTTGGTTTTTGTTTAAAGTTTGGTTTCTTTTTAAATTAATGAATTTTTAAAAATTCTGCTTCTTTTACTTGAGCCTGAACTAAAAGATAAAATTTTATCAAGCCATATAGCCCTTGGAGTAACCCAAACTCTTTGATGCACAGTCAACTCTCCTTTGCCATAGGTGATATATTTAAGACCCACAGGATGTCTGCAACTGTGGATAATGTTGAACTCTGTATATTCTGTGCTTTTCCTACACTTGTACAAGTTTGATAAACTTTGTTTTACATGTTATACACAGTAAAGCAATAGCAGTTACTATTAATGCAATTAATAACAGCTGTTTAGAACTTAGGACTTATTTCTAGAATTTTTCTATTAACTATTTTCCAACTGCCGAAAGCCTTGAAACTACAGAAGTGGGTAAGGAGGGACTACTATAAAGACTCTCTCACTGTGTGCAGTATGTTTGTAATGTCAATGATTGTCCACATTGACACATTGGTTCATTGAAATGTTTCAGCTGAATGGCATCTTAACTATAATGTCTACAAATGTCAGCCTAATTCTACATATTTTAACACACCCAGTCCTCTTGATCTGGTACTTTATGAACTCATTCCTTAGTTCCATCTCACGCCATGGATAATTACGTCTTCTCTTCTGATGCTGAGCTCAAATTCTTTACTATATAGCAGTGCCCACTCACTGCCACTATTTTCGTATCTCAAGACTGATCTTAATATGCAGTTTTTCCATAAGCCAGAGCTAGAAAATCTTAATCCAGATCTAGATCAGTTATGATCTAGAACCATATCATCTATTTTTTATATTGTTACTTAAAATAATTTCAAAACTCACTGTTATAAGTAGTTACCATTTGCTGTGCTATAAAATGCAGAATATTCTGGGACTGGAGAGATGACTCAGCAGTTAAGAGCACTGGCAGCTCTCACAGAGGACCCGGGCTTGATTCCCAGCAATTATATGGTGGCTAACAACTGTCCTTAACTCCAATTCCAGGGGATCTGACTCCCTCTTCTGACCTCAGTGGCCGTAGCATGACATGGGTACACTTACATACATGCAGGTGATATACTCATACACATAAATAAAAGTAATTTTAAAATACAGAATACTCATTCAAGAATTGAATTTTGACAAGAACCTAAAATAGTTCATTTAGTTACTCCCTAGGCATAGGCACTGTGCTAACAGCTTTCTTCTTCTAATATGATTGTGCTAGCTTTCCATCTAGACTCTAAGCACTAAGACGGTATGGGGTCTCTCCCTCTCCTTGCGGGTCGTTGGCCACCGGTCCACGAGGACAAGGGGAGCAGAAGCGACGAGCCAGGTCAGGAGGGCCAGTGAGCACTGACAGAAGAAAGCCCTTCCAGGGAGGCAGGTTCAATGATGCAAATAGCTCCAGACTCAGTGAAACAGCTCCATTTATTCAGTGGGAGAACTAGGGAAAATATAGTGTGGAGGCAGTAGCCAATGCCTCAGCTGATAGGTGCTCATAGTATGCTTTATTTACATGTGGCAGTGGGCTCCTATCGTCTGACTACCCAGCAAAGCCTGATTATCATATAGAAAAAAACTTGAGGGTAGTTTTTACTCCAGGTAACTATGCCAAAGGTCATGTTCCAAATAAGGTCAGGCATCCGTGCTTGGTGGCACTTTCCAGGTAAGTCAGGAAGGGAGCAGGAGGCCCCCTGCTGAAAAGGGAAGTCCTTCCATTTGGCGCCGAGCCCCTTAGAGCTATCCGGACCAGGAGGACTACAACCCTAACAGCAGGGTTTCCCAACAAGACGGGATCATTTCTGTTATTTTTAAGTATCATACCTCCTAGCCAGCTTGCTTCTAGGTAGGGCACATCTATTACTTAATTTCACCCAGACAAAAAGAGGGAGGAGAAAGGATAGAATCTACAGGACTGTGACTCTTATTACAAAAGTATTAATTGTCAAACAAAAGTATGCTAGTGTGGTTCTTATAGTTTAGAAAAGAACCAGAGAGAACAAGACCACAGGACTGAATGTGGATTGAAAGTTGCATAACCTTATGTCATTGCTTTGCAGTTGGTAGAACCCTTGACTCCCAGTGGCACAGCGCCCAATCAAGCACAGCTTCGCATTTTGAAAGAAACTGAACTCAAGAGGGTAAAAGTCCTTGGCTCAGGAGCTTTTGGAACCGTTTATAAAGTAAGTAAAAACAAACAAACAAAAAACCCACACACTATTAGTTGCTTAAGTTTTGTTTCACGCTTTTAAAAATAATAACCAAAGTATTGCTTCAGCCCATGTAATTTCCTTTTAATATTCAAAGAGGAGGACCTTTATAATTTTGAGAAGTTGCTGTGCAAATGAACTCATTAATTTTTATTGAACAAGTTGGGATAAATACAATCTTGAGAGCAAAGGAGGAAGTGTTGGTTCACAGCCAAGTGTAGCTTTCTGTGCCCTTCTGAGCCCCTTACAATATTGTCTGCTCTTTGGCAAATTTCCATGTTTCCCTAATACCTAGCCCCAACTCACTTCCCTTTCCTCCTGACATTGCTCCATGAATTCCTACACATCCTGAGCAACATCACACAGTCCTTTGCTCTTCTCTCTGCTCTTCTGATATAAAACAGTCCTTATGGGTAACCCATTAACTGATCACAGAATCCAGATGAGTGTGCTGATGTGTTAATAAGACGAGTATAACCCTTTTGCCTGATTGCACATGCAATTTAGTTGTAAACGTAAGGAATTTTGTGCAACTTTATGTGCAAGTCAACAAAACTATTTTTCTATGAAAAACCCAGGTCAAATAAGACCAGTGGATAACAGTGCTGATTAAGAGAGATTTTTGGAAAGGAAACATTCAAAGGGTGACATTTGCATGTTTACATATTTAGCTTAATTACAAGGCCTATCCAGGGGCCAGCCCTAACGTTAATTGTGGTGGAGTTTATTTTAATGGTTAATAACAAGAATAAGAATTCGTGCTGGTTTCACACCACCCTGAAAATTTCGGTAGCTCCAAATGGAATTTACCCTGGCAGCTTACTATATATCAAGGAGATATTATAATCCTTCCTTTTTACAAACACTCTGTTAAGGTAGATTAGGTTTTAGGAGTTTGACATTTTAGCAATGATCGAAGCTGATTTGGTTGAACATAAATGTATACCCAGCACTTGGGAGTTTGAGGCAGGAGAATCATTTGAGCTGAGATTTCAATGATAAATGATGTCAACAGTTTTGGAATAAAATGTGTATGATCCTAAATTGCACCTTAAATGTAGACATTGAAAGGGTAAGTGGATCAGTACTACCCAACTCTCAGAATCAATTCTTTATCATAAATCACATTCTCATCATCTATAGAAAGATTCTCAAACAATCCCCACTAGGCTTTTCTGATAATTGTTTGCATGTTCATGTCTTAGATATGACTGAAGGGTTCTGTGCTAAGCCATAAGAAAGTCCTTAGAAAGCTGTTAAAGCTTTCTTCCCTTGTGTTTGACGTCTGTGGTCAATTCCACATGTCATACTGACAACATTTAATGTAAGAAAGAAAAGGTACATGTTATAAAGAAGAGAGATTACAAAGACAATGAGATAAAGACAAATGGCCAAACTAAAATTATAACAAACTTCTATTTTTTAAAATATTTTATTTATTATTTTTATATTATATGTATGAGTGTATTGCCTGCATGTATGTGAGTGCACTTGTGTCGTGCAATGCTGCAGAGGTCAGAAGAGGGAGTCAGATTCCCCTGGAACTGGATTTAAAGACAGTTCATAGCCACCATGTGGGTACTGAAAATCGAACCCGGGTCCTCTGCAAGAGTAGTCAGTGATCTTAACAGCTGAGCCATCTCTCCAGCCCCACAAACTTCTATTTTTAAGACAATTCAATTTTAGATTGTTCCTAAAATATCATCTCCCTTTTATATATATTTAACGTAATATAGTCTGGAAATTAAATTTTATTTTAAACTATGGAGACCCTATATCCATGACTAAGTACTATCTAATTACCTTAGCAGGAAAAAAAACCTAATCATTTAAATATTTTTAACATACTTATGCAATATAAATTTTTGTCTTTTGTCCACTGGCATTACTTGCAATGAAAATTTATTATAGGTTCCATAATTTTATTTTAAGTCTGTACCTTAAATGTGGTTGCTCCTAAGTTCTAATAAATAAATTGTTGAGAGACATACCATCTTAAACTATGCAGAATTATTGATGACTATACAAATGCAAATTGCTCAAGTAATTATTGGGATCATTTTTACTCTTAACTGGAGTTCTGCTGTGTTCCAGCATAAAAGATTAGAAACAATATGGGCATCAGCATAGTCAAATTTTATATGATCAGGTCTATGAGTAATGTGTACACTTATTTCAAAAATGTACAAATTAATTCACATGAATTTATATTCTTATTTTAAAACCACACTTTAGGAATATTTTACTATTGATGCTGTATCTTTATAAAGTAACCCCCGTGTGGTTATTTTATTGAATAATCATAAGTATATTTCTTGCCCTAAATAATATCCCTGAGAAAATATAGCATGTAGGTTTGGGGAGCTTAGGGCTTTTTTTTTCTTTCTATGTTGGTTTTTGATCTCTTTTAAAAAATTTTATACCCCAAATGGCTTAGGTAATTATTTTACATTTGACATATGCATTTCCCTCTTGACCCTGCTTAAGACAAACATGATCATAAATCTGATTCTGAAGGTTTAAAGCACTTTTCTTCACTGTTATTACTGTTGAACAGTTTTCACGTTTATGTCTACTCACCCTCCTCCAACTTAGGCTACTGCAAGCACTTTTGTTCAAAGTGAAAAATCTATGAAAATTTATTTTCTATGAAATTTTTTTTCTATGTCTACAACCAGCTGATATTAAGACCGAAGGTGGTTATGCTTTCTTTAGGAGCTGTGGTCAGTATTTTTCCTTCAGCCATTAGTTAGTTTTGACACTCCCCTGCCTCAAGTTCTTTTGTGTTCTTTTGGGACAATATGCTTTTAGAAAATATTCTTGTATTATTCGTGCATCCCTTTATGTTCTATGGAAATTATTGTCCTCATTTATGGCAAGTGCTTTGCTTACTGAGAGCTGTCCCAGCCCCATACTATACTCATTTACCCAGAAATACTACTATTTAGTTTAACATATTTGTACCTTAAAATTCTAAGACATGAATATTTTCTCAATCTTTAAATTCTTCATGTATGTTGTTAAGAAGACAGAAATTTCCATGGCTATTATAACATAAACCCAGAGACAAAAATCATTAATAACAGAGTTTAATAATATGAACAAATTAATATGTGTTCAATATATCCTAGAACTTGCCCTTGAAAACTATTTCTAAAATAATAACCTTTAGAAAATTAATTCTTAAATCATAAAAAAGAGAGTATGCATTTTTGTTATTGTTCTTTTAGTTGAAGAATAACCAGATAATGCTGAAGCTGAAAAGAATCTTCCCACTTTACCTATTCAAATCTTCTGAGTTAGAGTTTAAACATGTGGTGTTTTTCATACATTGGTGTTAAATATAGCTATATATTCTTTAATGTGAAATAATTCATGATTTGTGTTGAAAGTTGCTGATATTATCCAAATTGGATTTAGATACTCCATCCTATTTTAAGTGCTGTCTGCACTCTGCCTAGGCTCTTTCATGAAACAAATAAGTTGATCTTTCAGGATTGTGAACATCTTGAAAATAGAGAGCATGTCTGTAATAAAAATGTCCAACATATACCAGATGCCAAGGAAATGTTTGTTGCTTAAATAAAATAACATATGACTTCTCATTTATAAGAAAGTAATACTTTGAAAGGTCAAATCAAATTATGTTGTTGGTAGAACTATTGGATATGTCTTAATGTAGAACTGATGTAAGTTTTGTTTTGTTTTGTTTTGTTTTCTTGACAGGGTATTTGGGTACCAGAAGGAGAAACAGTGAAAATCCCAGTGGCTATTAAGATTCTCAATGAAACAACTGGTCCCAAGGCCAACGTGGAATTCATGGATGTAAGTGTGTAGACACACATCCTATTTCTCTATTAATTAGAAAAATACCTAACATTTTAAAAAACAACTGCACAACTTTTAAAATTTCTTCTCTGGATATGATAAAATCTTTCAGTTAAATCAGTTTTTTTTAGAATTTCATACAAGAATACTCTGCTTCATCCTTTCTGTCCACCCTTTCTCTCCTTGCTCCAACTCTTCCCCTGCCACACTCTCTCAATTTCCTGTTCCATTCTTTGACTATCATTTCCATTTAGGGGTGGGATCTTGTGAAATTTCTCCCATCCACAGTGGTATTTCAGCTTTTGTTATTATTATGCAAATCTTTTTAGGCAACCATATTGATTTTTTAAAAAATTTTTAAGGTTTTATGTTTATGAGTATTTTGTCCGCATGTATGGAAGTACATCACATGTGTGCCATGCTCATGGATGCCAGAAGAGGGCATTTGATTCCTGGACTTGAAGTTACAGATAGCTGTTAGCCACCATGTGGGTGCTGGGTACCAAACCCAGGTCTTTTGCAAGAGCAGCCAGTGCTCTTAACTGCTGAGTCATCTCTTCAACCCCATATTGAAACTTTAAGAACACTATATTGTATTAGACATTGAAGATCACCTCTAGTTTGCAGTTTTCTGCCAAAATTATACTCCAGGACCTGCTTTGGGAATTTAAAGATATTTATTATCCCCATGTTAAATTACCCTCTAATCAGACAGGTGATGCTTTCATATTTTATTATTCCCATATTGAATTACCTTATAATCAGACAAATGATTCTTTCATATCTTGTTGTAGAATAACTTGGATTAAATCACAATTTCTATATAGTAATTGGATATCATAAATTTATTTATTATATTCAGTTACAATGATCACTATTAGTACTGTTCAGTGATGATAATAGTAAGCCACTAATATTTATAAAGTTCTTGTGAAATGCCAAAACTGTTCAAGATGATAAATATTATTGAAAAAGTATGTAATAAGTTCTAATCCTGTTATATATAATTTACAAATAACATTGAATCTCATTCTGATAACATAACAGTCTTCATTAATCCCAAGGTTAACCTAATTTTGAAAAGCAGGAAACTATCAACTCAAGGCTTTCAGTTTATACAACCAAGATTGAGCAAGAATATTCTCTTAAGATGCTTTAAGAGGCCAGAGAATCATCAGGGTTTATTTGTCTTCTCTTTGGCAACTTCTCAACTCAGCTTTCTTTGGTGGGAAAGCATCCATGGATGATTATAACAAAAAAAAAGTGTGAATGAGTGTGCCTATCTTTTGAATGTGTGTGCCTATCTTCCAGTAAACTTCATTTATACAAGCAAGATGCAGAGCAGGTGTGATTTTAGGACCACCCTGTTTTAAAAGACTGTAACTGAGACTGCTATGACAAGCTACCTTTGGGGAGTCCTGATGGTGATTGGAAAAGTGAAATTGGTCTTACTTTTTATGGTTAAAATTTATTTAAATAAAAATAATCAAGATTGCTTTCTAAAGTCAGTCATTCTCTTCTTTATTTAAGTAGGAATTTATTCAAAACTGGTAATTCTCAACTGAAATTTAATTTTTTCAACTCAAATTCAGAAGACAGGACCATCATGTGATGATCCCATTATAGAATAATGAAAAAGTTCTAAAGAATGAAAGAACTTTATAAGGTCAATCAGAACTTTAAGAGTTCCACTAACAAAAATTGTAGATTGAGCTGTTCAGGAAATTTCAGAGGGTAGGATAGAAAAAAAATTATATACATAGCCTGCTGTTATTTTTTCATACTGAACATAAGATATCTTGCCAGGGGTTCTAGAAAAGACCCACATACATTCTTTCTCTGTCTTTTAGCATAATGTCTTTAATAATAGGAAGGATTTTGATTTCCAAATGACCTTTATAAAAGACGATGCAAGCATATGCACTTTTTAAAAGACAGATTGCTAGATATTCTTAGCCATTCTTTCTTGAAAACACCTTTGCAATTTTATAGTTCAGTATATGACCTTGAAAATTGTGCTTATAATGTTCACCAACTTTTATATGGCTGTTGTTAGCCTACTTTATTATTGGTTAACACATAGGGGGATTGATAATTGGACAAATGCATTGCTCTGGAGAGTGGATTCTGGGTCCTATCAGTTATAAATAGTTAAAATACCATCTTGTTGCACATCTAAAAACACTTGTCTCATAAATATTATGTTCGGTAATGAAATAATGTTGTTTTTTGTAGGTGTCTAAAGGCCATGACACTATCTCCAGTTAAATGATATGCTCACATGTCAATATTTGAACTGAAGAATTTTTCAGTGATGCCCAAATTCTTCCACTTGATGCTGATCACAGTTATAAACTCATAAAGGGATTTTTTCAAATAAAGTAGAAATTACAAAGAAAAATTACAGTAACTAAAAAGTATAGGTTCATATATAAAACTAATAGAAGATAAAGCTTGCCCACCTTGGACTCCAACCAAAGCTGTAATTCATAAGGATGCTAATAGTCTCTGCTGGAGGCTTAGACAGCCATTTTATCACATTTCCATGGAAACAGACTGGCAAAAGGGGGTTAAGAGGCTACAAAATAATCACCTAAAAAAGAAGCTCTAAAAACCTCATCATGATTTCAAATGATTATTTGAAAGCTCCTAACCCCATCTATCCATTCCCTCCCTCTTGATCTGAGCCTATTCCCATGGAAACAGGAGTGGGATGGTCGCCTGAAGTCTTTGCTTTCTGTCGAATTTTAAACGAGCCTCTGATTGAGCCATGAAAGGAGTCCTTTTCCTAGAAGAGTGATGGATCTAGTAACCAGCAAACCCCAAAATATTCTTTTTTCAAAGACACAAAAAATTAAGAAAAATCTTTTGTGTGTACCTTTCTGACTTTGGGCTAGATGTTAGAAAATTATAGAATCACTAGGCTGCTACTGGCAAAGTTTGATAAGTATAAGGCAGAAGCACCTCCTACTGTGTTCACTATTTGTTTTAAAATGCTGGAAGGATTACACCACACTGGTAGCATGTCCTTTATGTACGCATAACATTGTAAATATTGAATAACATCTCAAATCACAAAAGAAGGTCTCGATAAGCAAAATTATGTGGATTTGAGTCAGGATAGAACTGAAATTACAAGTCGTCCAATAGCAGTTAAAGTAATATGTTTGACATAGATCATAGTTTTTATTCTTCCAGAACCATAATGATTAAAATAATGATTTGGGTAAAATAATTTATGCTAGTGTCCAATGGCTCATTAATAGGAAAAGGTCAAAATGAGACAGGAAAACTGCTAATGGCCACAGTAGTGATTGTAGCCTCTTTCTATTTGAGAAGCCCCACCATCTAGGACTCATTACCTTACTCAAGAATTAAGGGAACCATTGCCTGTGTATCATCTCCCGTGCTCCCTTGGTTGACAATTGCTGGGAGTGCAAGAGAACCAGAGACTTATATCAGCTCCTATACAGGCCATTGGTTGATGATTCCTGGGAGAATCATCTTTCCTGGGAGAGAGGAACACTTAACACCTCCACATTTTACCTAAAGATGGAAGAAACATGCTCCAGTGACAAAAGAAAATAATTAGGCAAAGAGAAGTACGTAGACATCAGCTAATAGAGCATTATGGTAAAGTGTTCCAAGGAGAGTTTGCAAAATAAGATACGATACACTGAAAACATACATCTTTATGAAACCATAAATCTCTTGTGCAATGCGCATGTGTATTCATATTTATATATGTGTATATTTGTTTTATACTATTTTATAGGAAAAATAAAACTTCCAAAGACAACGGAAACTGCATACTTCTATTAAGCACTGTCCTCCTTTACAGTTACGCTAATTTCATGAGTTTGTTATGCTAACTTATGCTTTACTGCTTATTATAACAAATGACAGGAATACTGCAGCTTAATACTCAAAATTCATCACCAGCATCCAATAGCTCTATTGATATCCAAGGGTAAAGGGAAAGACTTTTCTATTCTCTTTGTATTTTTACCATAAACAAAAAATAAATTATGGGCAGACTATAGTCTATCAAATATTTCACTAAAAGCAACAGAAGGAAAATTTGGTCACAGGGCTGTTACTTAGCTCGACCAAACATACCTAATGGATTCATAATGACAATAATAACATGATGCTCATGAATGCCCAGTACATTCTTTATTCTCATAAAGGAAGATCACATTGAATGACTTTAAGAAAATTACTCTAAAGGTCTGCCTTCATAAGAGGAATGCCTGCCTTGATAGCTGCTGCTAATTCTTATTTCAAATAGCACAGTAGCACAGTTTCACTGGGGAAACACAGGCTTTTGTGAGGTTTCTTTGTTTCTTGTGGGCTTTTTTTTTTTTTTTTAAATCCATCAAATGGTGTAGAACACATACTTAAGTAAAGATATATTTAGCAAGATTCCTGGAATTGGAGACCATGGCTCAGGGAAATCAGGCAGGTTGTTAGTTTTTCTGTTTCCACCACTCTGTTTTATTTTTCCCTCAATATATTTAAGCTTATTATCAGTTGACTTGTTTTCAAACGTTTTACCTAAATTATTTGTTTTCTTAAAGAATAAGCCTGAAATAAAAGAAATTATGTAACTAGTTTAAATTCCAGTGACTGTTCTCCAACAGTGACTCAGTGCTTACGTGAATCCTCTTGGCTTCAGGTTTCCCACACTGTCTTCACAAAAAGGCCAGGTGCTTCAAGAAAACAGACTTCATGTGACCCAACTATATTATGCTAAAGGCAACATTCTTGGTAAAAAAAATAAGTCCTTTTCCATTTTCTATGCCACAAGGACTCTTTTTTTATCTTACCCAACTGTCACTTTGCTCTTTTACTGAAAAAATATTCACATGATTTGTGTTTCTCTTCTCTGTACAGTACTAGTGATATTCAGGATCTTGTAAATTCTTTCAACGCTAATTGATGTCGTTATATGACTGGGACAGGCGGTACACAATTTATTCACAGTTTATATTTAT